TCCTTGTTCAGACAGGAACAGATCCCACGTCATCTCCGAGAGATTTACTATCTCCTCGGCAGATGCAAAGACAAGTTGGAGCACCTCAACTGAGGATGCCTCCGGCATCTTGTCTTTGACGACCTCGAACAACTCGTTCGTAGGTCCGTCCTCTTGGAACGAGACTGATCCAAGGATCACTCGTTTCGACGTGCCTTTGATCGTCTTAATACGTCTGGTGCTCGTTCTTCGAGTCGCCACGATTTTTGACCTGGAAGAAGGTGTCGTTGCTGTATTAGCCAACACACTCCTTCCAACCGCACCAGGCTCATGGCTCTGTGCCGGTTCTTGTGGCGCTTGACTTTCTGTCAGCCCACCATCAAAATGCTACAAGCTCTCGGCTCTGTGCAGGACCACTTTGGACGTATGGCTACCTGTCATCGTCCCATTCACTACACCAGTCTCCTCGAGATGGGTAGGAATTGTGTCACCTGCCTTCCTGTCAGGACACTTTCAACTACTCCAGGCTCCACGAGCTGGGTAGTACCTGGTGCCGATTGACATACCGTCATCGCAACCTCGACTGTGTTGGACACACCATCAATCTCTCGCAAAAGCACATTCTTTCCGGTGTCCTGCGTAGAGTTAGCGACTGTGCGTGTACGCCAGTCGATCCATGGTTGGTGTTTAGCCAACCAAGGCATGCATAGGGTGAGGTCATACGGACTCTTCATACCTAGCACTGTGAACTTCTCTTAACAAGAAAAGTCACTAAAGCTGAAAGTGAGTTCAACTTGAACTCCCTCCGATTTAACGAGCGCGCCGTTCGCTGAACAAACGATCGCCTCTTCTCGCTTGCCATCCTGGCAAAGCGACTCATAACTCGCTGGACTCTTTTTCAGAGCCGCAAGTTTCACAAAATTCTGTAATGCACCCGAATCCACGACAAGCGACATCACTTGGTCATAGCCTCGTATCCGAGCACTACAGACCGCTTGAAGGTGTAAGCCCGCGTAGTACGTGGCATTTTCTTTACGAAGCGCCCGTCTACACTTGGTAGCACTAGTAGTCCTTCCCAAGACCCGTCTCTTTGAGCGTGCGGGTGGATACGGAGGTTCCTCAACGTGTATTGGGGTGGTTTTCCTCAACTCTCCCAACATCATAGGGAATTGGCAGAGCATATGGACCAGGGACTTGGTGAACAAGCCCTGGTCAACCTTTTGCATTGTTCTCCTGAACAACATGTTGCTCAGTTGGAGCAATTCGAACCGTGTGCGCTCGGACAGCGTAGAAAAGCGTCCGAGGTAAACAGCCAAGCCACAGCTAAGTCCATCAGTAAGACGCAGGATGAGCTTTGGCTTGAGCAGGCACGAAATGAGGCGCTCAACAGACCTGTTGAGACGCTCTCTGCCCGGTCGAATCAGCCAAAAACCATTCGGATGGAGCGTCCGAAGTTTGATGGGGCTGCATACGATTGTCCACTGTCTTTTAGCCGTGGAGCAATGCGATATGGCGCAGCTCATCGAAGACGACACCAGGATGGTGTCGTATGCCGTGTCAAATATGCGTGGCAAAGCGTCAGAGTGGGCTTACTCTGCGCTTATGGCAAACGCCGATGCGTTTTCATCATGAACGATCTTTAAGTCAAAGATTCGTGCCATGTATCAGCCGCCTAACAACAAAGTGTTACTTCAGGCGCGCTTCTTTGGAGCACGACAGGCGAAACGATCTCTGCAAGAGTATGTGCAGGAGATGCGTTAGCTGTCGGCGTCCATTAATGGGGAACCGATACAGGAACGTATCAAGGTGGCCACGTTCATGAATGGACTTAGGCACGGCCCATCACTTCAGGCCCTTTTAGAAAAGTGCTTAAGACGATGGAGCGACAATTAAAATTGCTATGGTTGAGGAGCAATCCTACAACAATGCCTCGGCAACACCTTACTATAAGCCGTCGGCCGAGAAGTCGGATGCCACTCCAATGGAGTTAGGCAATGCAATGCTACAAGTGCGGCAAGTGCGTCCATATGATGGCTCGCTGCTATGCCAAACTTGCTGTTGGGGCCAAGGCAGCCAGCAAAACGTCCTCAATCCGAAGGGGGGGGTCGAAGAACCTGCAAGTCGCACGGGTTCAGATTCGACACCCGATAAGTCGGGAAATACGGGAGCGCAGTAGGGGCGGGATGCCCTACTGTCGCGAACTCTGAAGCTACCCCTAAGTTCAGAGTGATCGAACAAATGGGTAGCATAGTCCCTGAGGTACCGAAAGGTCGGACTCCAACCATTTTAGCGTGACGAAGCGGTTAGACCGTCTTACCCTACGCGTGCGGTGGTGGTGGTGTTGGTTGGCCGCTTAAAGCGCCGAACCAACTCTTGTCGGCCGCTCAAAGCGATCCGCGTAACGAACTTTAAGACAAGCACCTACCTGCGTCTCGAAAGCTATTTTCAGTCTTCCCGTGCGCAGTGAGTGTGATGTAGTAAATTCAATACTGACTTATATTAAATACATCATAATTAAATATAGGAATAACTATTGATTAGGGAAAAAAAGAACTGTATTTAATATAGTTAAACCTAATAAAACTAAATCACGAATAACCTTGTCTTAAAAAGAGAACTGTATTTAATGTAGTTAAACTATCTAATAAAACTAAATCACGAATAACCTTGTCTTAACTATATTAAGGTACAAATATGTATGCTACCTTCGTGCCCTCCATTCATTGCGCGCGTTTGTCGGTCATTGATCAGCGCCTTGGTTGATATAATGGCTTAAATCAACCAACTAGAGGGCATCTCCAACTTCAAAGAGAAGCGAGGACAATATTACATGAAAAGGTAATATTGTCAAATAATGATCTTATGGACGCTTCATATTAGTGTCAATATTATGGAACGGGCTTGCCCCGTTACACGTATCCTTGCGTGCCAGCTTACAATATATATTGAAGCTCGCTGATGATGTCTGTCTGAAGCGTCACCATGATTTGGCGTCATCCCTGTTGAATGTGAAATCATCCACGGATATCACATTCACGAGGGTGAATCACATTGATGTGCCACACCCAAGTGGCTGGCCTAAGGTACCTCGTACCTTATAGTATTCGGTACTTAACGAACTTTTAGCCCGTTACAATCAGGTTGGTAGAGATACTAAATAAAAGAGACGGACCTAAGGAAAAAATACTAATTCTTTAACATTATCGCTACATGTAAATATATATGTGATAGCACGGTTCCAATTCAAGACGCCGTCCGCAATGTAAGATTATCACTTCGTCGTCTTTCACGACAATCAAACAGCTCGATAACTGGGACTTGGGCTGATGCTATTCGGACATAAAAGTCGACTCAACCTTCGTGGCTAGCCCTCTGCTTCTCCCGTGTGCCACCACTAGCTCATAGAGACGTCCAACAATTTCGTTGTAGACTGGCGTACTCCGACTAATGAGACCAACCGACACGCAAAAGCTGGATGTGGGTAGAGTGAGTCAGGAATTGTCACAATGTTTTCGCTGTCACGTAAAACTAATTGGCTCTCTTGCCCGACGTTACTGTCATTCAACCGCATCATTATGTCCTCATGCGATGTCCTCATGCGATGTCCGACAAGTCGAAATAAAACCCAGCACGAAGATACCTTAAACGTATCACCCACAACGTTTACTTGAATGATCTGCTACATCTGCAGCTTCCGTTGCCACGGAAAAGGCAAGTACAAGGTGAGTTCAGCATGTCCCACGAAGTGATTCACGAATCGCGAAATCGTCCGTCCAAGTGAGAAAAATGGAGAGAAAGAGTAGTTCAATGAGCTGTTCTTTGGGACGAAAGCTTCGAGCCAGCCATCAGGGTCACGACATGCTACAAACAATTGGATTTTTGTGGGTTAGGGCAGATATATAAGATGGTCATGGAAAGCCCTCAATATGAAGAATGTCCAGCATGAAGAGTGTAAAGCCGATACCTCATTCTTCATCAGGAATGTCATTGTTGTGCCCTAGCCTTCAAGACATTAACCCTCTCAAATCCTAGACGTATACGTAAGCCGCTAAAGCAAACCGTTCCAGCTTACTTTTGAAGCTTGTCATCCCTTCCATGTGTAGCCAAATAGGCTTTGAGGCATTAATCTTCGGCAACGAAATGTGGCAGTCGGCATGCTACATGTATCTGCTTCATATTTATATACTACTACAGTCGCAGTTGGAGCTGGAAAGGCCTGGCTGTAGTAATGGGTAGTAAAAAAGGGGTAGTAAAAGGCGACGGTTTCCGTGCCCGCGATTCAGCGAGTATTAACTTTATTCTTTTGGCCGTATCAAAGAGCGATGTATAAATGCGAATCGTCAGTGCGCACTTGTGAGTACCGCGTATTGAGGGATCGCTTTCACCACTGCAAAAAGTTAAATGGTCCACTTTCGTCTTCGTAGAATAAGAACATCTTATGCACTGCTCGTGTGCTCGCCGAGCTCTTCTGTCCCAATGCAGTCTTTTTTCTTGTCTCGGCTCACAGTGTCGTCTCTACATTAGGTACAGAATAAGAGCAACCATCTGGGATGTAGGACATGAAGCAGACAAGCGCGTTTTTCACAGAGAAAACTTCACAAAGTAATACTCACCTTAGCTGATACCTTCTCAAAAACATTATGCTTTCACCATACATTAGAATCATCGCTTCTTTATCTAATACCTCGTGTTACCTGATAGATACCAAGAATATCACGTTAGGCGTAAAGATTATTGAAACCAGTCAACTTTGGTGCGACTTTGTGCGCTCGCCTCGCCTTTTCAGTGTCATAACGTTACGTCGCGACAACGACATGTGCGAGATTTTTCAATCCCGCGTTCATGGGCAAGAAAAATGATGGCGAATGGGCGTTTTGGCCCGCTGCACTATCGTCCGATGTTCATCAATCTTGCTCACGGATGAGGTTTAGCATTCCCCAATTTTCTCGGTCTTGAGAAGATTAAACAATCTTCCTCCGTTCCAAGTTGACTCGTGTTTTTCCTGATATCGTATTTCCACGATGGTTTACTCGCCCTCCATGTACCTCGTCGCCTCCGCCGTGGCCGCCGTGGTTTTGAAGATGCAGCAAGCTGCTGCAACGTCGCTGGATTCTGATCCATTCGTCCCTGAACAATCGACCGACTACGCGATCTATTTGAGTAAGGAAGTCCCTACCAAGACCTGCGAGTACAAGTCTGTTCCTGACTTGACGCTACCGGACCTGTCCACCATTCCGTCGATTGATGCGCTATATCCGGACCTATTGTCCAATCAGTCCGCAATTCCCGATGCCGTCTATCTGAAGGCTGGCATTAATGTCGTGATCAGTGACTACACCGACGACCTTGATGCTTACACGTACGCGACCTCGGGGGCGGTGCCAAATTTAGTGACCCAGGGCTCTTCGATTGTGCCTGCCACTATGACTGACACGAAATCACCCACAGACTGTGCCACTGGTTGGGACAAGCCCATAACTCTCAATACCGATAACAGCATCGTCTCCGGTAATATGGTCGAAGAGACGACTCATGTTGGACGTCGTCTAACGGAAAACGATAACGTGCAAATTGTTGCACTGGAGAAATACTTCCATAAGAAAATGGTGAGGATCTTGGCTGATCTTCCGACTGAGGCTTCATATAAAAATACACCGTGGGGCGGGCCGTACTGGGCGGCCTACGAGGACAGCATTAACGTCAACATTTTCAAGACTGAGTATTTCCCTGTCTCTGCGAAGTACGCTACGGCTTTTAACTTGAACGTGAAAGACTTTATGGACAAGATTTCCAAGGAAGAGGGCATCGACCAGGAGTTTTTAGGTAATACAGTTAAAACACCGTGTTCAACGCAGGAGACCTGCAATAAACTCAAGGACGGTAGTGTTTGCTCCAAGCGTAAGGGCCAAAATTCCGGTTATTGTTTCCAAATGTGGTGGGGTATGTGCAACTCTTGGGCGAGTGCAGCGATTTTGGAGCCAGAGCCGCAATGCGTCGTCAAGTACAACAACGTTTCGTTTCGGCCGATAGAAATCAAGGCACTGCTGACGTATGTATACGAGAGAGCCCAGGTTGATCACGTCGCGGCTGGTGCTCGTTGTTCTAATCTTAAAGAAGAAAAGGACGAGTTTGGCCGTTCCACGTCTCCTTGTTTCAATGACATGAACCCTGGCTTCGTCCACATCGCCATTGCCAACATCATAGGATTGCTCGGCAAAACGTTCATAGTGGACGTTGAGCCTGGCCTCCCGGTGTGGAACCATCCCTTGCGCGGTTACAAGGTGCTCGAGCAGACTAAGATGTCTTTGGAGGATGCAGCTCGAAACTTCTACGGCCGAAAGCAGTACCCATGGAACGCAAATGCCAAGAGCATCGTATACATGAAGACTCGTGTGACGTGGATTACTGAGGCAAAGGATGACGGCCCTCTGGTGTCCACCGGCGCAATTGACAAATTCACGAAGGGTAATGTTCTCTCCTACCTGTTGGAGATGGATGACCATGGCACGATCATTGGCGGTGAGTGGTTGCATAAGTCGCTTACCGATCACCCAGATTTCATGTGGTTTCCCACCCGTAAGCCTGCCGATAAGTTCGTGTTGAAGAATGGGATGAGATACGACAACGTGATAAAGCTTCTGAAGAAGTCAGTGGCATGCTCTGATACACAGTAGGCGGCGAGCTCTACGGCTACGGGGGCCCCTGTTGTTTACTATGCCTAGCACGACGATGCCGCCCGCGACCACTACCCCTGCTGCTACTCTGCGAAACTAGGACAGGGCAAACGACCAGGGTGACAACGACGGGGATAACAAGCAGCAGCAGTAGTAGAACACAGTGTTAGTCGTATGTGTAGACTTTACTGGTACGACCACCTGCAATCTGTTTCAACTCAATACACTTCCATCCGTTTACGTAAGAGATTTGGACGGGACGTACAGTGCAGTCAAACTATATTTATGAGTGGTCTAGTTGCTCCGAAATTGTAAAGGAGTCGAAGAGCAGTAAAACTTTCTCTAGCTTCGACGAGTGCCTCAACTCATGCCAATCTCTCCGTTCCATTTTGGCACCCTCCAAATACGTCAGAAAGTGACCTCTCCGTTCGAGTTTGCTGATAATCATTTACTACCCTTTCGACGGGGTAGCTAGCTGCTGGCAGACTTGTTTGTGAGTTGCTATGGACACAAATCGCAATGTCGTCGTTATGTGCGACTTGTTCTGAGAATCAGTCGCAACATCCAAATTTGAATTATCCTAATGCGTGAACTACTCTCGAAGTAATTTCTTATATATGTGCCTTAGCTCCAATTCTTTTCAGCGCGTAAGTCCTGGATCGGGTCCAAACATTATTGTTGTGATGCAAGTTAAGTACTGACGTGGTCAATAAAGGCCCTTAGTCCACACACAGCACAAAAGCGCTCCGAGCTACATCTAAGAAACTTTGCTGGATTCTCGTATGCATTTTCCATAAAGAATCTAGTACTCTGTCGTAGCACACTATCAGCGTCGATCATTGTGTGCTTTTGGTACGTACACTCAGCACTCGCCGCTAATACTTGTCCTCTTGGCGTTAGCCCCAATTGCGTGAAGTATGTACGAAAGCTTCTTGGTCCCTAGCGCTTTCGTGAGCATGTATGTTAGATGATTGTCCGTCATGACCCAGATCCTCTAGCATTGCTCGGGTCCATAGCACTTCCTGTGTGTACAAGCTCAACGCCATGTACTCCGCTTCTGTCAATTTTATATTAGCCCGGGGTTACATAGCCACCGTGCACTGATACTTAGACTTGAAATCACCAACGGCGGTAGTCAGTATTGCTGCCCCCAGTCGGCGTCAGCAAACTTGATACTTACTTCGTTATCGTTGTCGATGATACCAGATTCTTTCGTATACTTCAGGTAACATACTACCCGGATAGCAACCTTTCAATGTTACTCCTCAGTATTTCCAAAAAGCGTGACAGCTGCTTTACGATGTATGCCACATACGGGCGCGTACAAGTCGCAATGTACAACAAGCTTCTTTCAAGCGATCTGTATGGTCTCGATCTCATTCGCTCGCGCTCCATGTTCGTTGAGAGTGACTGTCTTTTCACAACTTTGTTTTGTCTCATACGGGTTCGCCCTGCTTTCGCGTCCTGCTAATTTAACCGGCTGCATCATATTCGATGTAGCGCGTCTGCTTGGTCATCAGCGTGCTCATCGCGGTTATGACCGACCTCCATACCAAGATTGTATTTTGCCATTTCCTTCATCTTGAAGTTATCCTGCAATACATTCTTATTATCAACAACTTTCTTGTAGGTCTTGGTATGATTATGTTGTCCGCGTACAAGCAGATGTACACGTACTTGTCCTGTTAACCTTCACAAGAGGACAATTATCCGCCCGATAATGGCGGACGTTGATCCTCCTGAATTGTCTTGTACCACACACTTGTGGCCTGCTTGAGACCGTAAATTGCCTTGTTTGATTTGCTCATTCCGATCTCAGCGTTGTCAACGCTGTACGACACCTCCATATAAACTTGCTTTGTAAGTCGGTGTTCAAGAATGCAGTGTCGATATCAAGATGTTCGATCACGTAGGCCTCGAGCGCTACCACTAATGATGAGCCATGGGCGAAAAAGTGCACGCCGACATCTGCTTCAACCCCTTATCAACAACCGGGCCTTGTATACGAATAAAATAACCGTGCTTGTCACGCTTTTTTGCAAACACCCATCTGCACCGATCCAAACAGGCATCTTCCTTTGCTGTATCATTGTCCAAGAGCCATTATTTTTGTGAGCATTTGGCTCATCATTCATTGCATTACCTTTTTCACGTGTCAGCTCCTTGCATGACCTGCTGATATGAAGTAAGAGCGTTATCCGCGTCAGCATAGGCCCAATCCTAGCATCTGGTAAAGCAGCGACATCACGAATTCTCCTTGCGCCCAATTTACCATCAACACGAGTGGCGCTCTGGCATTGTAAACGTTGGTGCTTCGGTTTTATCCCGTAGAGCCCTAGATGGGGGTACACTCCTACGTATGAAAACAAAGTGTCATCAATAAACTCAAGTGCCTTCACTTGAAAGTTTGCATTTTTGGTGTTGTTTTTTCATTGTTTGAACTACCGATAGCACTTTCGATTCGATCCTCATCTCATCACGTTGTAATCAATTAAGATCATGCCTAGAGTTCGTGAGTATTGCTCATTTCAATTGAAAAGATGTAAACAAGTACCATACCATGTTGTTTAGCGAAAGAGAGGATGGATTCTAATGGACAGATGCCAATTGCTGAACATTACCTAGTGGAATACTCGTCGATAAACTCTAGATTCATTGTCCAAATCAGGCGATGATGTATAAATATTATTATTTATACAGTAAATGCACTCGTCGTCAATAATGTTAGAAACTCCATCTTTTATAATTATTATGTGGGCCACGTGATGGTGTCCGATCCTTTCGCCATCTCGAGTATGACGGTGCGTTAGGTGCATTCTAGCTTCTCTCGGTTGCACACAAATTGACAGTGTAAAGATGATACAGTTAAAACAACGATACTAACTTTATTGGATTCTTTCTTCTGTTTATGTGGCCTTAATTCCTCGGAAGGCTACGGCTACCAAGAACAAGAATAATCCGACAAATTCTATGAGTCTAAAGGAACCGGAGAATCGATTCCCAAAAGACACAGAAGATGAGGAAAGTGTCGTAAAGAGCGATGAAGACAGTGACGGCGTCGACGACGAGCAGGATTATTCAGTAGGGGACACAAAGGGTGACGCTGCTAAGGATGAAAACGGTGCGGGTGACGAAGGAGATGATGGAGAAGAGGAGGAGGAAGTGGGACTGTCGTATCTGTACACGAATTTCGAGGACGACGACAACGATGAGGACTTCAAGGTGGACGCCACTGCACAAGACGACGACAATGACGAAGAGGAGGAAGAAGAGGACGCTTTTTCTGCAGCAGAGGATGACGGTGATGGCGTGCACTTTACAATAGAAAACAAGGAGAGTGATGAATCCGATGACGATGTTGATGAGGATGACACAGTGGGAAACAAAGAAGCTCAAGATGAGGATGCCCCGCCAGGTGGGTGTTGCTAATGCATCTAGATAAAACTCTTCCTGCACTAGTAACTTACTGAGAGTAACTGATTTTTCTTGTGATTCCCACTGAATAGCGAAGAAGCAAAAGAACTAGCCACCAAATGGTAAAGGCGCTAAGAATCTCCGGTAATGGACCATGGTTGCAAACATAAGTTTGCATCATGTCTTTTCATTATTGTTAGTGTTTTCGCCAGGACGGCCTTCAGCGCGGCGCTCTATATGCGCCGCTTAATGGACCCTGGCGAGAGTAGAGAGAAATGTAGAGAAGAGAGATAACCCGACGCATGTTGAAGTTGAGCCACTTTGGTGACAAGACGGCTCGCGCAACGTTTACATGCATACATATTTAATAGTTGACGAGCTGTATATTTGAAGCATAAATTATAAATCATAAAAATTTGAATTAGCCTTTGCAAAACTAATTTGAATAATGAATTAGGCGTGATTTATGTAAAATTGAGGGGACACACAACGAGTTTCAAAATCAAATTTTTAGACAAAGGTGAAACAAACATTCATTTTATTTTGTGATTGATGCTTCTTTAACATTATAAAATGATTAGAATTCGATAAAGCAAAAAATAGTGGGATGCAGACGATAATGAACTACGGTTTGGCGTAAAATAACAGCCGCTGCCTACTCGTCGATCTTTTTGCGTCATGGAGAGCCTATTCGGCCTTCCCAAATTTCATATGATATTGTAGCCATGTGATAACGTTTTCATACTGTACAATTGCGAGCATACGACCAGTTTTATCTATTTATAATAAAACACCTATTTTATTCCTATTTAGAGACTTTTGCAGCCTAACTTCTTAAATCCAGGAAACCTATCCCTCACAATCATATAAAGGTTGTGTATCGAGCACAAAAGTCATTTTCATAATATTGATCGAGTCCTCCTATGTAATTTACGGAAACTGCTGAAATCAATAGACTGTAAACCTAGGGTGCTGACTCTTTGAAGCAACTAGTTGTTTTAGTCAAGATATAGAAATTACACGTTTTTTTATTTTGCGATTAAAAATAAAATTCAATGTTTTGTTGATAAATTGACTTTTTAATTTATGTTTTTATTCCCTAAATATGCCCATTTCACAACTTTAATCGATTACATGGCGATGACCGAGTGGCAACTCATCAGCCAGGGTGCCGAGGCGGTACGACCCCATCACGTCGTTCTTCTAATTCCTGAATAACTTTAACTGTTTATTGCAAACTTACCAGAACGTGTTTGAGACGGACTTCGCTGGCCGTGCTTGCGTTATAAAGGAGCGTGTCAAGAAAAGCTACCGCCTTTCAGTGCTGGACAAGAAACTCTCACATCGTCGTCTAGTGCAGGAAGTTCGCTGCATTCTCAAGTGCCGTCGTGCTGGGGTTCTTACACCCATCATCTTTTTAGTGGACGAAAACATGAGTCGTCTCTATCTGGAAAAAGTGCAGGGCGGCAGTCTGAAAGACTATCTGCGGCGGGCCCACAAGATCGGTACGACGACCAGCAATTAAAATCAGCCGAAAGGTGACTGATAAAAGTTTTTTGCTATGGTGTAGACGCCAAGTATGGCCCCTTGGCGCTAAAAAAGGCTTACCAGATCGGAGAAGCGATTGCCAAGATGCACGACGCTGATATTGTCCATGGTGACCTGACGACGTCTAACATGATGCAGAGCAATGACGATGCAACGGATGTGGTACGTGCAAAGTGACAGAGCGCATTACATGAAGACTGATTCTGGTGGGATGCAGACGATGATCGACTTTGGCTTGGCTAATTCGCAACCGCTGCCGGAGGACAAGGCCGTCGATCTTTATGTCATGGAGCGCGCGTTTGCTAGCACACATGTCAACTCGGAGCTCTTGGTGTGTTCACTGAAACGTCTTTATTCGAGGTGAAGGACAGCAGCTGACGTTTCTTCCGTTTTTCGTGTCTGACTGACAGGTAGAAGAGGTGCTGCGTGCGTACCGCGCGACTTCCCGTCGCTCTGACTCAATTTTTCAGAAGCTTTCTCAAGTGCGTATGCGAGGCCGCAAGCGCACCATGGTCGGATAGTTAGGCTGTAGATGGAGAGCTCAACCTTGTGACGAAGATGTGAGATACTCTCGAATCTATTTTTTTCAGTAATGCAATACAAATCTAAGCAGGTCTAGACAAGTTCTTTTATAATGCAAACCTATCATTGCTACCATGGTCCATTACCTGTTTCTTAACGCCTTTACCATTAGTAGCTAGTTCTTTTGCTTCTTCGTAATGTTCAGCAACTGTCATCTGTCCATTAGAAACCATACTCTCTTTCACAAGAATTTCCAGACAACATATTGGTACTTGTTGCATCTTTTCAATTGAAATAAGCAATAATCACGAATTCTAGGCATGATCTTAATTGATTACAACGTGATGAGATGAGGATCGATCGAAGTGCTATCGGTAGTTCCCACAATAATAAAAACAACACCAAATGTACTTACAATAAAAAAAACAACACCAAATGCAAACTTTTGCGTCAAAGAACTTGAGTTTATTGATGAAACTTTGTTTTCATACGTAGGAGTGCACCCTCATTCAGGGCTCTACGAGATTACACCAAGCACCAACGCTTACATGGCCGGAGCGCCGCTCGCATCAATGGTGAAATGGGCGCAAAGACCATTCTTGATGGAGGGGTCGCCATACACGTTGCAATCGGTGTCTGCTCCGATGCCCACCACGTACTTGGTACTCTCCACTATCTTCGGTAGACCAGCTCCAATCTCACCCTTGTATACGCTCCAATCATCATACGACAGCGTAAACGATACCTTTTTGGACTCGCCAGCTTTCAGCTCGATCTTCTCGAACTTTTTCAAAGACTTCACTTCCGGCACCGAGATTTTGCGGATCGGCTGGATCAGGAACAGCATGACGACCTCCTTACCAGCGCGCGAGCCGACATTCGTGACGGTGACTGAGGCCGTAAGCGTGTCGTGAACGTTAGTGATTGAAGTCTTGTCCAGAGTGACGTTGGAGTAGTTGAAAGTCGTGTAGCTCAGACCTGCTCCGAAGTCCCATTCCATTTCGCAGTAGTACGACGCGCAGCGCGTCGTCACAAGATGGTTGTATGGGATATCGACGTTCGCCGGGTCCTTCGGATACGTGATCGGCAGCTTGCCACTCGGGTTCACGTCGCCGTACAGAATCTCTGCGATAGCCTGCCCGCCGAGCTCACACGGAAGCATGGCATCAATAATAGCAGCGGCATTTTTGGGAATCGACCCAAGCAGACGCGGACGACCCTCGAGCAGCACCACAATCACCTTAGTGCCTGTGGCTGCCAGGGCTTTAATGAATTCCTCAAAACCCTTTGGTAGTGCAAGGTTGTCGACGTCTCCAGGCTTCCCCGCGTACGTTCGTTCACCGATGGCGGCAATAGTGTACTCGTGCCGACCAGCAAGTTCCACAGTCTTGGTCAGATTTGCGTTCGAGATAGACCCATTAATAAAGAGTCCGTTAAAGTAGGAGAAGGAATTACTGCCAACCAAGTTTCCAAGCCCCTTTCGAATACTAATTCCGTTCGGGAACATATCGTTACCAGACACGCCCTGCCAGAATTTGGTCCAGCCGCCGCACTGATAACCAACGTCGTCTGCAGAAGGACCCGTAAGGAAGACGGACGATTTCTTCGACAGAGGCAACACGTTGTCGTCATTTTGGAGCAGCACAATGGATTCGCGCGCCATCTCCAATGCAAGCTCTTTGTCCTTCTTGTTACCAATCTTCGACACAAGTTCTGCGCCGGGCAACGGATTCTTGTAGAGGCCGAGTTTCAATTTCGTTTTGATAATGCGTTCGACGGACTGGCGAATTCGAGCCTCCTGTTCTGGATGTTCCTTGAGCAGCTTTAAACCGGCCTCGATGAAGAAAACGTGATCATCCATCATACTAATGTCCAGCGATGTCTGCGTCAAAGAGGTGGCAACCGCCTCTTCGATGGTTTCCACCACGCGGTGGATCGTGTTCAGGTGAAAGACCGCGTCGTAGTCCGAAACAAGAGTTCCATTGAATTTAAGATCGCCACGGAGCAGGTCGATCAGTATCTTTTTGTTAGCGATCACGGGTACATTATTCAGTGATATGTAGTTCTCCATAATTGTCAGCACGTTAGCGTCATTTATTGCAGCCAAGTACGGCGTAGCAAAGTTGTTCAGGAGTTCAAAGTCCGACATTACAACATTATCGCGCTCGTGACCAGTGGGTGCCTTCGAGTACCCGATAAAGTGTTTAGCGCAAGCGGCAGTTTGATTCTGGCTTTGAAGTCCGCGGATGAGAGCGACTCCCATGACCGTACTCAGGTACGTGCTCTCACCGAACGTCTGGTAGGTCAGAGCCCATCCCTTGTGCTGCGATATGTCGAGAACCGGACCGAATATCCAAGAGATACCAGCAGCAAGGGTGTCACGAGCTGTCATGCGACCCACCTCGTAAAGAAGGTCGGGGTTAAAGCTCGCGCCAGCATTAATCTGATGGGGCGTCAGCACAGGCCCTTCAATATAGTTGGCACCGTGAAGGGAGTCAAGGCCGTAGATAATAGGTTGACCACCGGTCACTGACATGCTGATCTTTTGGATGCGTCCAATCATCTCACGATATTCGCTGGCGGTATAGCCGTACTTGCCATCGGAAGGTTCGACCCAATCCGTGCCGAAGTACGAACCGACGAAGAGCTCGGCATTCTCACGCACAGCAGTCTCATTAAGACCACCAGCTTCCGTATCGATGATGGTGTCGAGATTTAGTTGGGTCATTTGGCCAATCAATTGGGCGTGAGAGAAAGTGTCGACGATAGCTTTAGCTTGAGCATCGTAGCTGTCATCGGCGGATACTGCAGATACAAGTGCTGCTGCAGAGTACACAGCTGCCAACCAAAACTGGAGCATTGTTACAACAATTTCCTCGCCGACGATGTCTTCTGCGATGTACTTGGGAAATTGAAAAGTGAGCAAATGACGATGCGAGCGCAGTCACGAGTGGCTGTACGTCTAGGGGTCCCATCTGTGGAAAACCACAACATGATAATCGCTATGCGACGGTCCCTGTCGTGCTGGCTGTTCCATTTGCATAAAAGTTGTCGAGAATTATTGCACTCGTCATGCACGTTCAGTTTCAATGTAAAGTGTAAAGTTGAGTAGTGTCGAATCCGCGTCTACAATAGTGTCGGTCCGAAACATTAGCACTGGAAACCGGGAACTTGTGCGACTCTCAACCGAAGCATGTTGGAGATAGTCACAAGGCCATAGAGGATAGACGATGCATCTGTAGCCACCTTAGCCAGCTTAGCCACCATAGCCACGGCATTGAAGACGAGACAAGGATTAGGCAAATCTACGCGCATGGGAAAAAAATGGACAAAGAGTAGCTCAATGAGCTGTTCATCTGGGTGTAATCATTATCAAGCCAGACGACATGGTTGGTACCTGAGAAAGCATCAAGATTGTATTTCTCAGGGCTATAGAATCAGGGGTGGCTGCTATACCTAGATATTTTTGAAAGTGCAAATAGGTTTAATATTCTGCGATCTAGGTTTAGCCTAGGGTTTTATTCAGGTTTGAATAAAACCTAAATAAAACTTGAAGTAAACCTTCAAAGTACAACCTTTGTACCGAATACATGCTTCTCAAACTACACGTAACGACTCCACCCCAATGCATTACGAAACAGTTCCTCAAATCAATATGCATAGTAGTGCTCACAGTAGCCAAGCAAAACGACATACACAGCTTTTGCGTCCAACTTCTAAGCTTTATTTCTGCGGAATGTGTACCGTTGAGCTTCGGCGTGTACGACCGTGCGAAGACCTTGTAATTTCTCTTAAAACCTTAAAGCACAACATGTGTCGCGTCGCAAGTCGATCAGCCACACTTCAGTCGACTTGGTGAAGTTGTACCACTGCCAATCTTATATACAAAGTCGCCCGATACTCGTCCTGCGCGATATCGATCCGCATTGTCTCACACCACTTGGAAATCTAATGACCCATCTTGCCGCACTGACGATATTTACCGGTCTTCCTCACCGTCGTCTCATGCGCAATGTCGACAGATGGGTACAACGAGCACGGTGCATCGTTAAGTAGCGGGTCTAATGAATGCGCAAGCAAGTAACATGACGCTTGACGTAAATGGATATCCTTAACGACATATTTACGTGTGTTCGTATTATCATTCCTGCAGGAGAGTAGGGAGACCATGTCTTGTGCACAGGCTAAAGATTGCAAATACTTCGAAGGACGAGTGCAGCTTGTTATGCATCACACTCACTTGTTGAGGTGTGACTTGGTGGTAGAAACTATGGAATTTTACGAGTTCGTCCTTTTGACCTAAGCTGTTTTTCGTATTAGTTGTAATGTCTTGCTGCAATAGCGTCAGGGCTTGCGTGCAGTCTTTATTGGCAGAATGTTGTAAAAGAGATAACAAGCGTGGAAACACAAGTGGATACAGTTGCAAGGAGTTCCAGTATGTTTGTTACGGGGTGAGCCCGCTACATATTATTGACACTTATATGAATGTCAATAAGATTACTATTATAACTAATAATATTTGAGATATTACGTCTTGAGATAACATTGTCCCTGCATCTTCTTGAAGTTAGAGATGCCCTCCGACTGGTTATTATAAGCCATTATATCAACCGGGGCGCTGACCTTGATAATATAATGGCCTATATTAACCAGTTAGAGGGCATCTTTAGCTCAAAAGAGATGCAGGGTGTAACGGGGTGAGCCCGTTACATAATATTGACACTTATATGAAGTGTCAATAAAATATTATTATAACTAATAATATTTTGACAATATTACCTTTTCTTATAATATTGTTCCTAGATCTCCTTGAAGTTGGAGATGCCCTCTCATTGGTTGATATGGGCCATCATATCAACCACAATGACCGATGGACGCGCGCAATGAGTGGAGGGCAAGTTGTCAACATACATAGTTGTAGTTTAATATAGTTAACATAGGTTATAACAGATTAGTTTTATTAGATAGTTAGCTATATTAAATACAGTATTCTTTTTCCCTCTCAACTAAGCGTTTGTTTAGTTGATTCCCTTCCTCTGCTCACGTGTACGTGAGGTAATTGAGGCACCTGCTTTCACTGGAATCAGTAAAAGTAGACTATACTGTAATCAGTATAGTCAGAGGGTGCCCCATTACACCTGGTAGCACTTCGTGGTCCGTTCAGCGACCACCGCACCATCCGCTATGGAATTCAGCGGGTGATGAACGTCATCTCGCAACGCGTGATGACTTCCGCCATTTGAGTGATCTCGAATGGAATGCGGTTCAGCGTATGGCTGAAACCATCGGCAACTCTGCCGTTGGTGCCATGTTGCTCTCTCTTAGCGGAGAGGACCAACATGCAACCATCGCCAAGTTCATACAACATGAACTTGACGAAGTTGTAAAGAAACTCACCTTGCTACAGGAGCAAGGTTCTCAACAGGTTGAACTGTTGAGAGAACAAGGCGCTCGACAAGCTGACTTGTTGATGCAGCAGGGTGCTCAACAGACTGAACTGTTGAGACAAGCAGGCTAGTGCTGTTGCTGCCGGGTCGACGTATACACGTCGACCCGAGTCCTTGAAGATTGATGTCTCCAAGTACAAGGCAGTCGAAAGCGACTCCTTGCTGAGATGGTTCGTCGAGCTCGACGATGCCATCGAGGCTCGTCGCATTGATGACGATGCGATGAAGGTCAAGTTCGCCATGTCGAACTTGGCAGGACGTGCCAAAGCTTGGGCCTTAGGGCTCAAACTGCACGACCCATACGTTTTCCCAACGTATGACGTCTTCAAGGCGCGGCTCAAACACACGTTTGAACCGCCTCGTGCCGAATTCAGGGCTCGGGCTAAGCTCCTGGATTTGAAACAGGGTAAGCGTGATATACACGCTTACGCCCAACACGTACGATACCTCGTTAGCTGTATCGTACTGAACCCAATCGATGAACACACGCAGGTGACTGTGTTTATCAAGGGTCTGACAGATGGCCCTGTTGTTAAGACACACCTGTTCCGCTTGGAACTAGAATCGCTGGATCAAGCGATCTCTGCAGCGGAACAGGAGGACTTTAGCCTACAACAGGCTCACGTCCACTCGGGGTCCTATTGTCCACCGAGATGACAGGAGGGCGGAGGTCCAGAACCAATGAACCTCTCTATGTAGAGAGCGAGCGACCTCGCTCTCCAGGGTACAAGCGATTGCAAAAGTGCAATCTCTGTCAGAAGTTGGGCCACTACGCTTATGAGTGTAGTGCCCCACGCCCAGTGTCTCGTAACACTGGGAGTGACCATCGATCGTCTGCCAAGAATGGCCAGAGACGTGGGTCCCACGTTGCTGCGAAATCGCAACAACGTGGTGGACCAGCTAAAAACGGTCGGGGTCAGTAGGGGCGGAGCTCCCTACTGATCCAGCAACGTCAAGAGAGTTCGCGGGAATCTTGACGAAGGTTGCTCCCAACACACAGTCACTGTGTGTTGCCGCTCCCAGTGATGAGGTATCTGTGGTGGAGTGGGTTCTCAAAATTGTATGATGAGACCCCAAACCACTCACTGTGCCGGACTGCCGACTGTCGGAGGGGGTACCCCGATGCCGCGTATGAACCTTCTTTCACCTTGTGTACCCGTCGGCTGGCGGGTTGCACTCTTCGGAGGACTTGGTGACGATGTAGATGTCTGCCTTGAGGGAGGTAGACCTGGGGGGCCTCGAGTGGATATGCTTCACTCGGTGGGCCGGTAGGTGGCAACTCGATCGACCTTGTCGAGAGTGGACTTAGAGCCAAATTCTTCAGGGGCGCTTGTTGTCCCTGGCCTTTTCCTTCTGTTTCAGGGGTATTAACCACCTGACCTTTATGTTGCTTTCGGACCTTGAGGTGAGGGAGACCGCTTCCGATAGCGGGTCTTGGGGGGTGTTGCTACTCGAACGAGCTCACAGGCCAAATATATCCTGGAGCTCTATTCGCACTTGAACTTCGCTACACAACTGTCTTCGACGGGGGGCCAAAATATATCCCTTCTCGGAACAGTGAGTAACTTAGAGCAAGTTCTTCTTGGGTGACGGAGTCGTGCCACGTAGATCGCAAAGTGAGTAGTATTTAATATAGTCCTATCCTTTTAACTCCTTTACTCTATCCTTGCCTGAAGCTCTGATTCCTTGCGTCGACTGGTATGATCCTTGTATTAACTGGTCAGGAGTGGCTGAACCCCGAGGGGCCGAGGTCGACTGATGAGGGACCCAGGTCTACCAATGAGAGACCGGGTCGACCAACGAGGGGCCGAGGTCGACCGATGAGGGACCGGGTCGACTGATGAGGGACCCAGGTCTACCAATGAGGGACCGGGTCGACCAACGAGGGGCCGAGGTCGACCGATGAGGGACCGGGTCGACTGATGAGGGACCCAGGTCTACCAATGAGGGACCGGGTCGATCAATGAGCGGCCATGATCAACTCCCTTTGGTACCGGGTAACCGGTACCCTGATACTGATTTTCTTCGGCGGATCCTGCGGATTGTCCTCCACCAACGGTCGCTCCCCTTCGAGGCCCCTGTCTCTCTGGCCCCCTGTCCCTGACCCACGGCCTATACTCCGCATCCAACTGGAGTCTGGGACCTCCACATCACAAAATTAGCACATCACCACAGCCGCCCCCTGCACTTGCTCAACCGTACAACGGATTGAGCACGCGCATGTCTTCACTTCCTTCGTCACGTAGGTCCTTTACTGTCCCCTTTGTTGCTCATCCATCTCTAACTCGTGTCTGTCCAGCCATGTCTTCCCCTGGTTTTGACCCACCGTCTGCTGACCCACCGTCCGCTGATCCACCGTCTGAAGACCCACCGTCTGAAGAGCCGACTTCGATCGCCGTCGCGCCTTCGGTTG